ATCACTAGTTCATCATACAATGACCAAGTAACTTCATATGATGGTTATATAACACCCCTGTAAATTGTTGTTTCAAGTGTTATAACAGATTTTTATTGTTTAATTATGGTCGAAAGTATTAAAATTTGATCCAATTTCACATTTTCCATTCCTAAATTGCTTAATTATCGATTAAGTCAACCTTGAAGTGATATATGTGACAACATATGCACGTTTTGTTGAAAAATTGCAACATACATGTCATATGTGGCAACGTGTACATCTTAAAATGCATTTTTTCCCAAATAATATTCCAAAAGAAATAACAACCCAACAATTCTACAAACAAATAAGTGATAAAAACCACTAAAAAAGTCCTGATTTAATACTAATAACAATTATGTTTTATCTTAGAAGATATCAACGATAAACTAGAAATGATGAGGGCAACGACACTTTGTTGTAGAAGAAAATCGCAACATATTACCACTGATGTTGTAGAAAACATATCAACAATTTGAATTGTAAAGAAATAATGGAACGAGAGAAAGGAAAGAGATAAAAAGATACGAAAATTAATAAAAATAAATTAAATTTGAAATATGAAATGAAACACTCTTTTATAGAGGAGAGTAGAGAGGAAAAATGAAAGGACGATTGTTTTAGACATTTTTATTTTATTTTATTTTATTTTGATAATTCATAGTGTGACATCTGTTGCCACATATATCCTTTCTGTTGGGGTATATGCAGATAATTTTATAGTTTTTTTTACAACAAAGGTTATATATGTTGTCACAGACACCACATTGGTAACAATGAAATGTAGACACATATCTCCTTTTTGTGACATATGTTGTCACATATCTTCTTTATGTGACATATGTTGCCACATATCTTCTTTATGTGACATATGTTACCACATATCTTCTTTCTGTGACATATGTTGCCACATATCTTCTTTCTGTGACATATGTTGCCACATATATCCTTTCTGTTGGGGCACATGTAGATAATTTTGTGGTGTTTTTTACAACATAAGTTATAAATGTTGCCACATACACCACATTAATCTTTTCCATCATAATTGATATTTGTTCCAACAAAAAAATCATTAATATTATCAGCAAAAATAAACACTTCACCAATTGTTTTATACAACTTATCAACAAAAAAAGTAATTCACAATGGTATACATAACCATCAATCTAATCAATGGTGGATATTGTTGCTTCACATCACAATTGATGACTTCAACTTTTTTCTCTTTCTCTTTCGCTTTCTTTTTCAATTTCTCCTTCTCCATCTCTAGGTCCTTCTCGTTCTCCTTCTTATTCTCCTTGCCTTTTGAGTTTGAGTGTGACACAGAGCAATAGTCATTATTTTTTTCTTTCACTTATTATAGATGGTGATTGAGAAATAGATTTTTTCAATCTCGAACACTTCAAATATTTGGGGAAAAACTGAACAAAACTATATTTCTTAAATCATATGAACAAAATAGTCACAAAAAGAACAACAAAAACAACAAATATGAATTTTCACTGCATGTTAACATTACATATACATTTTCTCAAATTATGACTTTTTGGGTTTGTTAAATTTTTTCTAAAACAATAAATAATAGGTACAATTACACTATTATTCATTTTTCACATCTATTGAATAATTTATTTTTCATTAACCCAAGAAAAAAGCTTAGTATTGTTCCAAAATTGTAAAATCTCTAAAAAAATGACTTACCCATTTTAAGTCAAACACAATCTTCCGTTCAAAAAGAGGAGAGAGTCACGACCGGAGATGAGGTAAGATAATGGGGGAGAATATTTGTTTTGATAGTTAGATTTTCAGATTTTCTAAAGAGGAAGAACAAGAGAAGAGAGAACATTGAGAGAAGAAGAAGAGAAATATCTATTTTTATTTACTTTTTTAAAAAAAAGGATTAGTTTGGATAGAATTATAAAAGTTGAAAAAATGAAGTGCTTTTTGTATCTTTTTAAAAATTAGAAAGTTTTGAAAAAGTTAATTTGGTCCCAAATTGTCACGACCCAAAACGAGTCGTGAGTGACACCCACACTTACCTCCTTAGATAGGCTAACCAACACATCTAAACCCCAACATATACCAATAGTTCAACTATAAATATTATCAATAATGCGGAAGCTCCAAAAGATACTAAGCAACCAATTTAAATAAGTTTCTAAAGTTTAATACTTATCATCCCAAAATCTGATAGTCATCACATCAAGGACATCTAATCTCCAATACTAAGTCTAACAATATCGAATACACTAAAATAAAGAATAAAATGGTATGTGTTTGAAAGTATAGGACATCATGTCATGACTGAGAGAATCCAACACGAGCTTGAATGGATAGCTCACCCTGCAACTTGATATGTGGGAGGCTGGCTAGAGCTGAGGGAAATCAGAAGTCATAGGTACACTCGCTGCATTTCATAAAAGGAAAACAAAGAAGAAAACAAGTAGGGCTCAGTACGAGGCAACATGTATTGAGTAAGTATCATCGGTCAACCCAAAATAGTAACTAATATACAATAAATAATAGTATGAACTCAACTATAGCACTTAACAGGTGATAAACAACAAACAACATGAACAAGTATCAACAACATTAAAGTAAGCTCGTAATAAGTCAATGATATCAAGATCACACATGAGGACTCATGCCTCCAAACCGAATAATTTTTGGAGTTGAGTTCTTTGATATTGAGTACCTTCCATTAATTTAACATGTTTTTCCTTTAATATTATCATGTCGGTGTCACGACCCAAAACAAGCCGCGAGTGGCACCCACACTTATCCTCCTAGGTGAGTGAATCAACAAATCTAAACCCCAACATTTACCGGTATATCAATTATGAATAGTAAAAATAATACGGAAGATCCAAAAATTATTAACAAAATCAATTAAATAAACTTCTAAAGTTTAATACTTATTATTCCCAAAATCTGGAAGTCATCACATCAAGAACATCTATCCTTAAATTTTTAAATCTAAGAGTATTTAAAAAGCTAAAATAAGTAAAAAGATGGTCCATGTCCGAACTTCAAAGACATCAAGATGTGAGGGAGAGAATCTAGTCCGAGCTAGGAATAGTAGCTCACCCTGAAATCTGATGTGCTGGAGACTGGCTAGAGTTGAGGGCGAGTCGAAGTCGATGGTGCACTTGCTGCACTCCACAAAACAGCAAGAAGAAAATACAAGTAGGGGTCAGTACAAGGAACACGTACTGAGTAGGTATCATCGGTCAACTCAAAATAGAAATCAGTATATATTAAACAATAGTATAAAACCAACTACAATACCTAACAGGTGACAAGCAACAAATACATGAACCATTGACAACAACACCATATTAGGTACACCATCAATCACAACATCAAGTACACCTATGAGGACTCATGCCTCCACACCATACTCATTTGGGAAATCGGTTTCTTGAGTTTGAGTATTCTAAGTTAATTCCAGATTCCCTTCCTTTAATGTTATTGTGTCGGAACATGACACTCCGATCCCATATATCATGTCGGAACGTGACACTCCGATCCCATAATACCGTGTCGAAACGTGACACTCTGATCCAATAATACCGTGTCGGAACGTGACACTCCGATCCAATTATCTCATCATTTTTATTTCATCAAGCCTTCTTTATTCAAGGCGTCATCTTTAATAGAGAGGATTCAAGATTAGAATTTCAACATTCTCCTAACTTTAGGCCAACCACAAACCACACAATCAGAAACACACAACCACACAATCAAGTACATAGGAGACTTTACAATATCATTCAATACATATCAATTGCTATTTAGAGTTTATCTATCACATAGAAATAAACCATAACCTACCTCCACCGAATAATCGTGATCAAGCAAGCTACCTCTCCAATGCCTTTGCTTTCCTCAATGCCTATGAACCTTTTCAATCTGAAGTCTAAGTCACTTGCTTTCTTCTTCCTTCTCTCTCTCTCGCTCGTTCTCCCTTCTGTTCTTTTTATTTTTCTTCTGCGATTCTTTTTCTTTTACCCTAATTATCATACATTATGATAAAAGTAACACACTATTTATATCCCTATTATCTTCTTTAACCCCCAAGTAAATAAATTATTAAACTTACCCCACAAATTTCATAATTATAATCATGAATAGTCCATAACACCCATTTAAATTTTAGCGGAAATCCGACCCAGGGTGGAGTTACGCAGCTTGTGACGGTCCGTCATATCTACGACGGTCCTTGCTGCAGTTCCGTCGTGATGTTCAGAGAGTCGATCCAGTACCCAGATTTCAGAGTTGAAGTGTTTTGGAACGAAGACCCTCGACGGACCGTCGTGCTTATGATGGTTCGTCCTACCTGTCGTCGAGGGTAATGAGGAGAGCAGCAGAAGAAATTACACAGTATGGGACGACGGAGTCCATCACGGTCCGTCGTGACAATGACGGTTCGTCGCGTGATCCGTCAATCCAGTCAGTTTTTTTTATCAAAAATAATTCTACTGCTCGAACCGACTAAACAGGTTGTTACAGTCAAACGTGACATTCCGATCCAAGAATATCGTGTCGGAACGTGACACTCCGATCTAAAAATATCGTGTCGAAATGTGACACTCTGATCCAAGAATACCGTGTCGGAACGTGACACTCCGATCCAAGAATACCGTGTCAGAACGTGACACTCCGATCCAAGAATATCGTGTCAAAACGTGATACTCTGATCCAATTATACTATTAATTTATCCTTTATTATCACCACTTTCAATTCATTGTTATATTATTTTCATCAATCCTTCTTTATTCAAGGCATCACTTTGATAGGGAGGGTTAGAGAATATAAATTCTACGGTCTCAGAATTTCAGACCAATCACAAACCACACAACCAAATCACACAATCACACAGTCAAGTACATAGAGAACTTCACAATATCATTCAAGGCATATCATCACTATTAAGAGTTTACTATCAAATAGCATAAATCATAACCTACCTCCACCGAAGAACTGAAGTCAAGCAACTATTTCTCCAATGCTTTTTCATTCCTCAATACTTCCGAACTTTTCTAATCTATCAAGTATATATGCATAATTTGTAAGTTAACAAGCCTATAAACACTAATATTATTCTATGTCTAGCCTAGATCCACAAATCATCAAACACAAATCTATACTCAATTTTCTAATATTGAGTTTTATTAACATGCCGAGTCTCTTATTATTATTATTATTTATATATATTTAAGCCTAAAATTAAGTCTTTATTTCTTTGAATAATATAACTTTAATGATATCCAAATAATATACTAGACTTAATATTTAATTATCTATCTCAATATATAAAAACTTGATTCATAAAATAATAATCAAACACAAGTCTCCATAACCGAAAACCAAACAAAAGAAATGGTCCAATAACTCTAACTATGACCGTAGCGTGAATAAATCATAACCATAATGCCAACATCAATTCCACCTGTAATGAATTCTTCCTTCTAATCATAATGTAATTCCCTCACAACTATCAACCAAATTATACCCAACTAACATATTATCTGATAACAATCATATAATACCCCAAGTCCAATTTACCAGTGCCTCCTTTTCTAACCTTTTCAATTCACTTTTTCTACCTACTTTTCATTATTATTAATATACTAACCAGTATTAAACAACCCACAATGTATTATAATATCTAAGATTCCTGATTGACTTACCTGAAGCTATGATATGCTCCTTGTGTTTATGCGGTGATGAGGCACAGTGAGTTTTGACGCCCTTTTCTTCGCCCAAACCCTTATTCTTTCAATAAAATATTTACTCCCTAATATTATTATATAAGACTAACTATAAAAAATAGTAAAAGTGCTCCACTATTAATTTTAATATTATTTTCTCTAACCACTAAATAAATAAATTACTAAAATTACCCCACTAATTTCATAATTATAACTATAAAATAGTTTAAAATACCCATTTCGAATCTAACGAAAAATATTTTATGAAACACAAGGCTTTAACTCTCAAAACGACCAAAAGGGTCGGTACACAAATTAACTTAATTACATTTTAAAGATGATTTGACCAACTTTTGGTCAATCTGTCACAAAAAACCAAACCCAGACTTATTTGACACCTTTCATTTAATTTTCTCATTTTACCTCGAGCTTTTCGATTTCCGATACATCTTTTGGTATCCATGGTTGTTGTTGTAATTGACCAGAGTGTGTCTCTTCGCTAGTCGGAGTAGCGTTTGGTGTCGTTGTTGTCTACTGTTTCGCGGATGCGAAAGAAGGAGATGAGGGAAGAGGGCGGCGCTTCCCGATTCTCTCCGGCTGCTGCTTGCTGATGTTTCTCGCCGGAGAAGAGGAGAGGAGAAGGCGAGGGGAGAGAAAGAGGAAAAAGTGGTTGTGCCGACTTCGTTGATCGGAGAAGGAAGCAGCGAAAGGGGAGAGGTGGCGGCTGCTGCTGCTGTTGCTGCTCGGAGACGAGAGATGGCTTGCCTGAGCTGCCGTGTGAGAAGAAAGGGATGCGTCTGCTCTTCCATGAGAGGAGGAAAAGAATTGAAAAAATTTAAGGGTTTGAGTCTTTTAGATCGAAAAAGGAAAGTGGGAGCAGATTCAATCTGATCGTTTATTAGAACAAGATGGACAACTACGATTTGATCTCGAATTTTTATGGATGGTTGAGATTAAGGATGTGCATTGTACGAAGAAAATTGTTTGAGAAAATAAAAATTTGAAGTTGAAAATATATTTTAAAATCAAATTCAAAATTTATTTTGGGAGGTGGATAGGGTGACGGTGGTTTGTGTGGGGAGGTCGAGGGTAAGGGTGAAAAATTCGGAGGGGGTGGTAGGGGGTTTGAGGGTAAAAGTAAAAAAAATGAAATTAATAATATTTTTAATTTTTTTTTTTTTGAGGGGTGGAGAGATGATTGGGTCGGGGGAGGGCGGAGTGAAAACACAAATTTTGAAATAGAAAATATCTTTTAGAAATTAATATTTTTTTTTTAAATGTAATTTAAAGTTGAATTAGTGTTTTGGAAAATGTTTTCCTTAACTTTTGAAAGTAAGTTATTTTCCTTAATTTTGAGGAAAATGAATTTATTTAAAAAACATATTCCAAAACTTTTGTCCCAACCAAACATGAGAAAACTAGAAAAATTTTCAAAAATGTTTTGCTTCATACCAAACACATCCTAAATGAAAATTGGAGTCTTGGAAAAAAAATTGAGACAAGAATAGGCTAAATTTGAAATTAACATGTGATGATAATCGAAATAAGAATTTGAATTGAAGTGGCTAGAATTAAAACAGATTGAATAAGAAATGAGAAGAATTGAAATACAATTGGATAGATTAGGCTATGATTTAAGAGAATATTAAGGAGATATTATTCAATTAATAAAATATTACTCATATTAAAAAAAAGTCATATAATTAAACACTTCAAAATTCTAAAAATATTTAAATTAATAAGTAAAGTAATTATTTCAAGGTAACTAACTATCAATGAATGAAATAATTTTATATTAATTTAATCTATCAATTTAATTTAATAAATTTAAATTATATACCTCCTAATTATATAAATTTAATTTTATCCATAAACAAAAGTTTATTAATATCAAATATAAATCTCCTTGAATTGTTCATCGATATTTCTTTAATTGATAATGTATTTCATATATAAACCACTAATATACAAGACTTGATTTGTTAAACTACTTCAGGAGTATATAATCAACGTATTTCATATTCTGATGTATAATTCATTACGTGCCATTTCCTACGATATGATCACTACACTTGACATCCATTCAAGATCAAACGTAATAATCTTGATAGAACTTGCTTTCTACATTAATTATGATGTTTTATTGTCTATTTCATAAAATGAGACAAGACATTAAAGGTTATATGTACAAATAATTATAAATATAAAATTTAATTACTCCCTCCGTTTAAAAAAGAATGACCCTATTTCCTCTTTAGTCTGTTTAAAAAAGAATGACCCCTTTCCTTTTTCGGCAACACTTTAACTTTAACTTTTCACGTGATATGTTTAAGAACACAAGATTAAAGGACATTTTGGTATATTTGACATAACTTTAATTTAGAACCACAAGATTAAGAAGTCTTCTTTCTTTTGTTAAACTCCATTCCAAGTCAAATGGGCTATCCTATTTGAAATGGAGGGAGTAATTGTTATCATGACATTTCTATGAGTATTGTCTCGCATTTCATACTCGGATTAATTACATGTTAGCTCTTCACCTCTACATCATTACATGAGATATAAGTTCATGATTTGAGAACGGACTAACAAAATTTGTACATTACTCTAGAAATATAAGTATAATTATCTCCTAATTCATATCAACATAGTTGCATACTCTAAATATGGATTATTGATGTTTTTTTTATTCCATGAATTCTAATTTTTATTTATAAAAGTATACAAAATTGTACATTTTTTTGAAAAAATTAATTGTAGATGCAAAATGAAAATTTAGTATTATGCACTATAGCAAATTATGATTAATAGGAATATTTTTATAGAATTCTACCTTCGAATGTCGCTTTTATCAAAAGTAATTAGATTAAATAAAAAATAGTGACTTCATGAGGTCGGTATCCCTCTAAATTTTAAGATAAATAAAAAGTAATCATGTTAATTAAATAATACTGACATCAGAAAGTTGATATTTTATATTAATTTATTTCTTAACTTATATAAAACCGTCATCCAGAGGACGATTTACTTAAAGTTAGTTGAATATATATATATATATATATATATATAAATATATATATATATATATATATATATATATGTATGTATATGACTTTTGAAAGTCGGTATGATAATTTTTTTTATTTTACACAAAATCATCCTCCACCGGATGATTTAAATACAATTAATTCAAAATAATTCTCGATTTTGATTTTTATATTTAATTGAGAAAACAAATATTTTTATTATTAATTTATTTAATACCGACATTAAGAGGTTAGTATTAATTGTAATTCATCTTTTTTGGGAAAAATTTCGACCCAGTGGTTGGTATTAAATTTTTCGTTTTATTTGGTATAAAAATTGACTCCTTGTAGTCGGTTTTCTAATTTATTTTTTATTCTTTTTAACAATACTGACCTACAAAGGTAGGAATTTATCGACTTTCATTTGAGATCGATAATTTTTAGGTCAGTATTCACAGTTGTTTTGGTAGTGATAAATGAATCAAACTTCTCAAACTCTATTGTATATCTATGAAGCCTCTAAATGACAAAGATGCAAGTCAGGACAAAATCTACAATTAGCTAAATCGAACTGCATGTGATATCAACGAAGCTCTTGTTGATGACTTTGATTATACGTATCTACATCATGAAACGATGCAGGCCAAATGAATAAGTACATTGAATGTACGAGCATGTAAGGTTAATATTAAACATAACCTCAAGATTGAACTGATAAAAAGAAAACATTCTCACCTTTGTTCTATTCAACTTATGGATACTCGACTCAATGCAGAAATAAAGCAAAAATAAACAGGCAGTTTATATTAAACTTTTAAAACACTAGATAACGACTCAATGTATTAAAAAATGTAATAATATCTTAGTTATATATAAACTCTATTTGAGAGGTTCTATAACCAACAAACATCACTATGAGAGGTTCAATAACAAAAAAGCATCACTATGAGATATGTGATGATACAACGTCTCGCTCACACTGCCAGAGTTATCCTATACCTTGCCGAGGTACATCAACTAAGTGGATCCACTAGCTAGTCTATGCTTAAAACAAATAAAAAATCATCTAAAAAATATGACTCTTTCTATTCATGTTGGCTACTTGGTTTATGGGGATTGTGAGTTGTCTAAACTCTCGCCATGTGGGTGCCAATACTACTTCCAAAACATAAATAGCTCATATGTTTAAATACATATATAAACTCTTTTTGTGGTTTGAGATTAATACTCAAAAATCTTTCTCTAAAAAGAGATCCTACTCAATTGCTCAAAACTCTTTGGAAATCTCAGTTTCCTTCTCATTTAAATGTGAAAACATTTTACTCATGGAAACACCTAGTTCCCACATCTTTTTAAAGAAAAGAACTCAATTCTACTCTTCCTCAAACTCAATTGCTCAAGCCTTAAAACAAGTTTAGAAAAATTTGTAAAAGACTTCTCAAAATAGGGGTTCATGCCAAATTATGGACGTGAACTACTCAATTCAAGATTTTTCAACAACCATACATAAAACTCAATACTCGAAACTCAACAACTAAAGTACTTCAATGATGCTACTAATTTCAAGAATGCATGGGCATGAACAACTCAACTTAGGGAATTCGTGATACTACTCATCTCAAGAATGTTTAACTTATAGGTTTCATGCGAAATTATGTGCATGAACAACTCAACTCAAGGACTTCATGAATAACATATAATAGTCTCATGATTAGGAATATTATCTCTATAAAAATTAGGAACTCAATACTTAATAATTTGATGGGTAACATGTAATAATTCAAAATCGAGCATAACAGATACAAATAATTTATGTATCCATATTCCAAATAGATCTCCAAGGGTTTTACCAAAGAAAAAATTTAAAATGGAATAAGGAGGCACCGCAAAGCTGAAGGAGCTAGGTGGGACATAATTTGTATCACTTGTTTGGTATTAAAAAGCTATTGCGTTTGAATTCTCATGCATTACTGATGCATTTTGGTAATCCGTTCAAATACTGATCATAGAGGGTACAATCATTTTTTCCCTGTTTAGTTCTCTATTATAATTTATGTTTTGAAAAGAATTTATGACTTTTGGTTATATATCTTTGATCTTAGTTAAATTAGTTCAATACTCCAATTTCTACTGAAGGATTATGACTTTGCCGAAAGGTTATGATCTTTATGAAAAGTTGTGTCTTTTTTAAAGGATTGTGAACGTTTGAAAGGTTGTGTCTTTTGCAAAGGGGTGTGACCTTTATGAAAGGTTGTCTTATTTCCATAAAGTTGCGACCTTTACCCTTTGTTGAATATAAATAGAGAGGTTTTCACTCGCATTGAATTCTTCCCTTCTCTTAACATACATTACTTACAAAATAAAATAGATCGATCATATTTGTGTGTATAATTTGTTGTTGTCATTTTAAGTGTGTTGAAATTATCGAAGTTTGAGGTACCGCTACTTCTTTAATGGTTAATCTGTGTTATCTTGGGATGAATTAAACTGCAACCTCAGGTACTTGAGGGGATTAAATTTCTTAAGGACACAAAGTGGGTTCTATGGACTCGGATAGTTCTTTGTGTTTTTCTTTTCATCTTTTATTTTTTATTTTTCTAATCTTAATACATGAGATAACAAGCTTAAAAAATTTAATTTTGATGGTATTTTCTGTGGTAAGGAAATTGCTTCTATTTTCTGTATTTTTTTTTTGTTGAAAAGTAGAAGAAAAAGAAAATTATTTTATCATATAATAAAAGAGATTTGAGATGAACTAGTACTACTTTAATATGTTCAAGTATATTTTCTGTAGTAAGTTTTTCTTGGATGGGTAATATCTTATTTTCTTTCCAAGTGCATTCAAGCATTGCACCCTTTCAGT